TTTACACCAAGAAAAGGGTCAGGAAGGACATAAGATATAACATATAATGATTCAGTATGTGCTGCTGGGGAATATCACTGGGAGAGAAAGTGATAGCTTTTCAGGCTCACTTGACTAGAAGACTTTTGAAAGATGTTTGTCTAATGGGTTGAAGAGTCATAGGGTGAACTGTGGGTCACGCCTGACCCAAGCAGAAGTAGCAGCTCTCCTTATATATTTCCAGTGGAGGAGAAGCTACAGCTCTCTGCAGCTGGCCACATTTCTCGCAGTCCCTATGGGCTGGCAGTCCTTCTTGAGGTCTCATCTCAGCTCTTCTTGCTGCTTGTGCTGCCCCATTCCCCTTGTCTGACTCTCTGGGCAGGCGGACAGTAGAGTGCTTTTTCGCCTTGCAGAGAGGGTCAAAGCCTCCTGGGTCCTTAGCACACTGTGCTGAGTTCCCCTGCTCTGTCTGGGGAAGGGGAGGGTCCATGGTCCCAGCCTCTTTCTAACCTACCAGCTGCCACCCTCTCCCCCAGCACCACCCCCAGGCCCAGGTGGACATCTATGAGAAGCAGTTTGTGCCCTTTGGCCTAGTGCGCTTTGGTGTGGCACCTGACCACCCGGAGGTGAAGGTGGGTTTCTCTGGGGCTGGAGGGGGAGTTGGGAGACTGGTCAAGACAGGGAAGCTCCTTGGCTAGATGGAATGACTTCAGGCTCTCTGAGTGGACATCACCTGGGCTCCATCCTGGGGACACTACAGGTGAGGGTGGTACAGGCATGTTCCCTGGAGCTGCCTCCCCCAAACCCCTCTTGTTCTGGGGTACCCAACAGAATGTCATCAACACATTTACCCAGACAGCCCACTCTGACCGCTGTGCCTTCTGGGGCAATGTGGAGGTGGGCAGGGACGTGACAGTTCCCGAGCTGCAGGAGGCCTATCACGCTGTGGTGCTGGTGAGTGTAGGTTGGTGGCAGGGAGGGTGGCTGGGGCTGCAGTGGAAGGCTGGTGACTGTGGGAAGGCAGTGAGGTGAGGCTGGGATAGAAGCTGCAGAGGAGGAGCTGGAAGGGTACTGCTTGGGCCTGGGTAGGAGGCTGCCTGGCTCCTCAGTGCTGGTGCTGAGGGCTCTGGGCCTCAGGCCTGTATTCTTTCATCAGAGCTATGGGGCAGAGGACCACCAGCCCCTGGGCATCCCCGGGGAGGAGCTGCCAGGTGTGCTGTCAGCCCGGACCTTTGTGGGCTGGTACAATGGACTTCCTGAGAACCGGGAGGTGAGTTTGAGGTGTACTTCTGCTGCCTCTTCCTCTAGCAGCCTTGGGTGCTAGACTTGGGGACAGCTGCCAGCCAGGGGCAATGAGGTGAATCGAGGACCTGTGAGATGTTGGGCTGATTGAAGCAGAAGGTCTATTGTAGGGGGCCTCTGGGGAGAAGTGTGGCCAGGTGGAGAGGAGCTCAGGTGGGTAGACTTTCTGAGCGTGTGGGGAAGCCTGAGGCCATAGTTGGGGACCAGGCATGAGGCATCTGACAACTGAGGTTAGCCTCACTGGAGCCAAAGCTGGGAGACCCTATCAAGACCTTTCCCCTCCAGCTGACACCAGACCTGAGCTGTGACACAGTTGTGATTCTGGGGCAGGGGAATGTGGCTCTGGATGTGGCCCGAATCCTACTGACTCCGCCTGAGCACCTGGAGGTAAGTAGGTCATGCTGAGGAGAGGGTGCCCCTGCCCGCAGGGTTCAGACCTCTCTGCCCCAAGATGAGCTCTGTGCCTGTGTTTCCCGTGTTGCCCAGACCGGTCGGAGAGACAATCCTGGGAGCTTCCTCTCCTTCCATTTCCCCTTCACTGTCTGTACTCCAGCTCCAGCTAAGTAGGGCTTTTCTTTTTCTTTTCTATTTAGTGTGCACAGAACTTTTGCGTACATGTTCCCCCTGCCAAAAATGCTTAAAGTTCATCTTTTATTATTTTTTAAAATTCATGTATTTTAAAAATTTCAGATTAATATGGGGGTACAAATGTTTGGGTTACATTGTTTTCCTTTCTAAGGTAAAGTTCAAGTTATAGTTGAGCCCTTGACCAGAGGGCATGCTGAATACCCTCACATTATGCTCATTAGGTGAGATCCCACCAATCACCCTCCATCCTCCCCTCCCCTTTTTCTCCCCTCCCCTCCACCTTGCTAGACTATACTTGTGTTTTTTCTCTCATGTGGGCATGTAGTTGTTTATATAGTGGTTTCATATTAGTACTGAGTACATTGGATGCTTTTTTTCATTCTTGAGATACTTTACTAAGAAGAATGTGTTTCAACTCCATCCAGGTAAACAAAGTTCAACTTTTAGATCTTGGCTCACACCCTCTCACCCTTCCTCCAAGACTGCCCTGAACAGGTCTATTTCCCCTGTAATACCCTGTGTCTACTTCTGTATCATAGCATGTTATCACTATCACGATTTTATACTCATTAATGAACATTTGATGAGTGTTTCTCCCCAGATGATCAGAAGCTTTGTAAAGGTTGTGACATGTCTGTTTTGCTCACCATTGACCTGTCTCTTCATGCTTTTTGCACAATACTGGGCACATAGATCCTCAGTAAATACTTGTTGAATGAAGGAGTGTGTGAGCCTGGTTTGCTACTGGTTGGAGCCTTTTGCAAAGTTGGCTGCGGTGCTCGTCTGGCCACCAGGGGGGGCAGTGGTACAATGTTGGGCTGCCTGTCTTCTGGCTCAGGGGAGGGACTTGACCAAATGGAGAGTCCCGTTCTCCAGGTCAGTGTACGATGACTTCAAGGCCCTCCTTTTGTGCCAGAGAACAGACATCACAAAGGCAGCTCTGGAAGTACTGAGGCAGAGTCAGGTGAAAACGGTGTGGATAGTGGGCCGGCGTGGACCCCTGCAAGTGGCCTTCACCATTAAGGTGCTGGGGCTGGGGTGGGGTGTCCCGTATAGAGGGTCTCCCCTGGGGAGGGTGGAGCAGAGCCCCTGGGAATAGTTGCTGCCTGGGATGGGAGACTGGGAGCAGGCAGGGCTTCCAGGGCCCTGTGCCTTCCGTGGAGGAGGGCAGTGGTGATGTGGCCTACCTGGACTAGACTCTGGGGTGGCCTTGGGGGTGGACAGTGTTCTGGGCTTAACTTCTTTCCCTAATCCCTGTTCCTACTACTCTCAAGGAACTTCGGGAGATGATTCAGTTACCAGGAACCCGGCCCATTTTGGATTCTGAAAATTTCTTGGGCCTCCAGGACAGAATCAAGGGTGAGGGGCCCTGGCACCCCAGATACTAAGAGGGGTGGTCTAGGTCAGAGTGGGCTTGGGAGGGAGTGTGGGGTTAGGGCTGTGACCCAGGGACATTCCTGAGACATTCTATATTGCTGACAGAGGTTCCCCGCCCAAGGAAGCGCCTGACGGAACTGTTGCTTCAAACGGCCACCCAGAAGCCAAGTGGGGAGGAGACTGCCCACCAGGCTTTGGCCTCCCGTGTCTGGGGCCTTCGATTTTTCCGTAGCCCCCAGCAGGTACTGCCCTCACCAGATGGGCGGCGGGTAGCAGGCATTCGCCTGGCTGTCACTAGACTGGAGGTGAGTCTCAGGTTTCCCAAAGACACCCCCTTCTCCAGCCTCCCCCACCCAAGCCTGTTGTTGCCCACATTTTCCCCAACAGGGTGTTGGTGAGGCCACCCGGGCAGTGCCCACGGGGGACACAGAGGACCTCCCTTGTGGCCTGGTGCTGAGCAGCGTTGGGTATAAGAGCCGCCCTATTGACCCCAGTGTGCCCTTTGACCCCAAACTTGGGGTCATTCCCAATACAGAGGGCCGGGTTGTGGATGTGCCAGGTGAGAGGGTATGAGAAGGCTAGGTACTGAATTATGGGAGGCCAGGAGGATGGTGTCTCTTGGGGCCATTCATTCATTCATCTAGGGACCTACACTAAGAAGTTGCTCTGAGGCAGGCCCTGTCCCAGGACCGAGTGGCACCTTCCTCCTGGCCCTAAGGGAAGTTTCCAGTCTAGTTGGGACATATGAGACATATGCCTGATTGTTAAGTCATTCAATAGATGTTCTGAGGCTGCTCTGGGCCAGGCTCTGTGCTCAGTACTGGGATTGGAAATGAATAAGGCAACCCCCTGTCCTCAGGGCTCCTCCAGTCTGATTAAATACCCACATACCAAGCTAGTCATTAATTCAGTTAGTGAACATTGACTAAAGGCCTGCTGACACTGGAGGTGAGCAAGCCTCAGCAAATGCCCTCGGGGAGCTCTTCATCTATGGGGAAACTGAGGCATAAGGGATAATGGCATGGGAAAAACAGGTGGAGAAGAATCCAGGGCAGTGGGTCAGCAGCCACAGCAGGCTCAGCTGACAGTCTGGCAGGAGACTTGGGGTGCGTGTGCATGTGTGTACAGGTTGGGGCACAGGTTTGTCAGAATGCTGTCTAGCCATCTCCCTTTCCTTACCCCCTTATCCCCCCTCTCAGGCCTCTACTGCAGTGGCTGGGTAAAAAGGGGACCCACAGGTGTCATAGCCACAACCATGAGTGACAGCTTCCTCACTGGTCAGACGCTGCTGCAGGACCTGAAGGCTGGATTGCTCCCCTCTGGCCCCAGGCCTGGCTCTGTGGCCATCCAGACCCTGCTCAGAAGTCGAGGTCTGGGCCCTGATGCTCAGATCCTGGGAGGTGGGGGTGGGTGACCACTCTTTGAGATGGAGGTATTCTTGGTGGCGGGGAGGAAGAAGTAGTGACAGTCTCTCCTCTGCTTCAGGGGTCCGGCCAGTCTCTTTCTCAGATTGGGAGAAGCTGGATGCTGAGGAGGTGGCCCGGGGCCAGGGCGCTGGGAAGCCCCGGGAGAAGCTGGTGGACCCAAGGGAGATGCTGCAGTTGCTGGGGCATTGAGCCCAGATGCTGACCCCTGGTGGGGGGAGGGGCAGGCAGAGGCCCTAGGCCAAACAGGACTCTAGGTCCAAGTAGGACCCCAGCTGCATCACTGTCTGCCCTGGCTCTCAGGCATGGCTGCCTTCTCTTGTAAGAAGGTTGCCTTACCATTGTGGGTTTAGCTTTCAGCAAGGAGGTAACTTTAGTTAGGGATGGGTGGAGGTGCAGGCCAACCTTATTCCTTCCCACCTCTCCTGATGGACTATGGAGGGTCACCAGATTGGGAACATGATGGAAATAAAACAGCTGCAACCAAGGGCTGTAGTTGATGTGGGGCTTCTTTTGGGACAGGGGTCATCTTCTGGCGGCAGCTCCTCTGTGGTCACTAGGTGGCCATGTAGAGGGTACCCTGCTCAGGGGCCTCTTGCGGGATTGAGGGGGTTTGGGAACTAAGCCTGCGTCATTATCCACCCTCCCTTCATCAGCTTGGCCCTGATGCTGGAGTGGCCTGCCTATCTTTAGCTCACACCGTGGGCACCTGGAAGGGTGACCCCAGCCTGCCTGCTCTGGTGTCTTGCCTGCTGTCCTCCTTGGCTGGCCCCCAGTACAATGAAACCAGAAGAGACAATGTGGGAACGAGGGGACTGGGCAGCTTTCCCCTAGTTCCTCTGAATGTTCCAGCTACTTATGGCTCTAGTCCTCCCTCTGTCCACTCCCCATGCCGTCTCTCCTCTGACGGTTTTCCACCAGATCCAAAAGCTTTTAAAAATAGTGTCTCAATCAACGCGCTCTGCAGTGTACAAGGTGTATTCGTGCTCCTTTATGGAGGTCCCCAAGATGCTGGTCCCACTTTATAAACCGGGGGATCCTCGAAATTAACTGGCCCGAGGTCACACAGCTCATGCTCTGTGGGCTCCAACCTAGGGCTCCGAGCAGGCTGGAGTTTTCTCGCGGCCACACTGGTCCCAAGTGTTGGGTCTGGGGACACAGGCCTCGAGAGGGGCCGGCAGGGAGGGGCGGGCCGGGCGGGGCGGAGGCGGCGGGCCCCGGCGGGGCGGGCCCTCGCGGGCGACGGTGAGCGCTCTGCCACAGTTGGCTGGCAGCCCTCGGAGCCGGAGGCACGGCACGCAGCCCTGCCCGGGACAGAGCCGGGCGTCCAGCGGGCCACGGAGGGGCGCAGGGAGCGGGGGCGGGCCTGAGCCAGCCCGCCAGGCCGCCCTCTCGCCCCCGTCCCGCGGCGCCCGGGCTCAGGCGCCCGCCAAGCTACAACCGCACGCTCCAGCGAGCCGGGGCAGGGACACCGGGACATGC